GACTTCAATTTTGCTTTAATTAATTTTGCATTGCTTGGTATATTTGTCGCAGATGTCCTAAATTGGGACAGGTCTCTTGGACTTCTTGATATTTGACCTTCTTTCTTTGGTAAGGTGTCGTGCTTTGAGGTATCTGGTCTTTGTATTTGTCGTATAGGTTGTAGCTTCGGTGTCTCTGGAAGTGTTGAATAGGCTCGGGGTCGGAATGAAATAGGACGTCTTTTGCTACCCGGAAGTGACTGGGACTCGCCAATAATTGTGGATGCCCCAGACATTGGTCGAAATGGCGTAGCTCCCCGGTGTAATGATGAAACAGACCTTGGCGTTTGTAATAAGTTTTGCCGACTTTCTGTGAACGATTTTGCATAAGGCAACGCATTTCGATTTGCTGTCCTTTCGACTTGTAGTGATCCCAAAGATTTAATTTTTCTTAAAGCCTGTTCTGTTACCTTATTGGTGGTAAATATGATTTTCACATTCTTCAGATTCTGGCAGAAACTACTAATTGCCATTTGTCTTTGTTGGAACATCTCAGTATGCTTCAAGAATGTCAGGACAAAATCTGTCGGCGATTCCTTTTGGACGGCGTCTTGAAAAGACTCATAGGCATTTTGTGTTTCTTCCAAAAAACTTTCGCATGTCTGTACTTCAAGCTTTATATATTCCATTTCTTTAGTCTTCTTCTGTACAAGTTCACCAGCGACCTTATTTTCAAAGGTATCCAAGATTTCAAGGACTTTCTTGCGCAAGTTCGTTAAGTGAGATTTAATATCCACCTCTGTTCGTTCTAGATTTTCTAACTGCCCTTTTCTGTCTGTCAGAAGTTTTTCAACACGTGTGGATTGTTCCAGCAGGAAACTGCTCAGTTTTCCGCTGTCTGCATGGCGCCTTTTGGCAGCCTCTTCTATTGGAATCACATCTTCACATTTCTTGTGAGTGATGGTTGCACACAGTGAACAGATGGAAAGAAAGTGTTCCTCGCAATAAAATTCTATTTCCTTAGTTGGGTGGTACGTGCAAGCTTTTGTCAAGGATTCGCTGTCAAACGCTTTTAGTATTTTAGTTATTGTTGCATTTGTCTGCAGGTTGTCGGCCCATGATGAAGGAGACTGCGAACCACCAGGTGGCATAGCAGTCTCCTTCCGGCACACTGGGCAACTGAAAGCTGCTGGATCTGATTGGTTCTTTGTTGTCTTCACTATGTGATCTGCGATGCATTTCTTACAGAAAGAATGGAGACATGACAGAGTTTTGGGTTCTGTAAATGAATTCCCACAGACGGGGCAGCGCATCTGTTCCTTGGCGACTTTCACGACTGCATTCATCGTAGTTTTTTACCTTTAATAAGATAATGTCATCTCAGTCATTTCATTATATTTACATTATTTTTTATATTAGAATATTTGTGGAAGAAAAGGTATTTTTTATGAAGATTTTTTGCGCTTGATATTTTATTAACTATAATTAAGCATTTTCATAATTGTAATTTTTGATTTGATGAGTTTTCCGTATTGAACTTCAGATTCCTTAATATATAATGTCCATTATTGTTTATAGTAATAAGGGTTTATTTATCATAAGACTATTAAACCGTTCGATACTAATAATTTTTTTTAAAAAGTCGATTGCAGATCAGCGACATACTGCATTGTAGTTTTTGTGAATTTGTTTTTGGTTGTATCTTACATCACTTTAAGGACGTACAGAAAAGTTTAACCACACAATAATTACGGAAAACACCTTGACAAATGAAACCTTAAGGACCACACACCTGCTGTGAATTCAGTAAAAAAAATACATGTATATTTTTCAAGTGGTATTTTTGATTGTCCTTGCAAACATATAGTTTATTTGTTTGTATCATTATGAGATATTCGTTGTTGAACAGATTTGTTAGGAAGATAAAATTGTGTGTCTGTTTTATAGTTTCCCCAGATTTGGTTACAATTTCTTTTTAATTATTTCATTATAAAACACATAGACTTCCCATGAGACTTTGTAATCTTGTCAAGAATTTTCAATTTGCAAGGAATTAATCCACCGTTTATTTAATTTCATTCTTTCAAAATTTCTTTTTAAATGTTAAATTGAAATCAATTACCGGTACCCATCACATTGACGTTTGAGTCTGACCCACTTTTACTAAACATTTCCTAACTTTACCCTTGGCCAAAACTTTTGAATAGTTGGAACCAGGACTTTCTGACTTCACACGTGTATATATTTTTAAAGGACCTATCAATGGCTATAAATTATTTGACATCGACCTTTGAGTTTTACCCACTTTTGAAAAACTTCAACCTTGACCATTACCTTTGAACCATTAGTACTATGGCTTTTATATTTCTTGTCTCACTTTCGACAAATTTTAAACTTGACCATTACTTTTGAACCGTTAGTACTAGGGATTTCATATTACTTGTAACAAGACCAACAATTTTGACCTTGGAGTTTCACTTGCATTTGAGAAACTTCAATCATTGCAATAAGTTGTCATACGGGGGCATCAGCAATTCAAAAAAAAACATCTGATTCATTTCGAAAACCTCGTAAAATATTCTCTCGCGAGTTTTTTAATGGGAGTGTCAGATATTTGCGATTTGATGTTTTCGCAGAATTATATTAAAATCTCAAGGTCATATATATGGCACGCCAAATTCACAAAAATGAGCTAAACCTAGTTTCACAATTGATAAACTAGGTTTATCGACTGTAAACTATAGTTGACAAACCGTGAACTATAGTTAACAATTCGTAAACTATAGTTTTCATCTGTAAAACTTTATTTAACGGTTGTAAACTATAGTTTACGAATGATAATTTAAGTTGATCTGTCTATAAAACGTTAACAATAGATTTTGTTGATAAACATAGATTCACGTCTGTAAACTATAATTTACGATCGTTAACTATAGTTAAGAGTTGTAAACCATAGTTTACAAATCGTGAAACTGTATTTTCAGATAATCTATGTTTTGCAATCGCAAATGATTGTTTTCGGTGTTAAGTATACTAGTAGTAGTTTACGGTTGTGAAACATAGATTATCGCGTTAACTATGGTTTACAGATGTAAAATATAGATTAACGTTGTTAACTATAGTTTACGCTCCGTAAACTATAGTTTACAACCGATAAACCTAGTTTATCGATTGTGAAACTATGATTATCTCATTTTTGTGAATTTGGCGTGCCATACATATGCATATGTAGATAAAAAAAAAATCCCACCACGAAACATTTTCTTCTCTAAGGCAAATCAAGACCATCATTATCAAAATTCATTCCAGAAAATGCTGCTTAAGAGACAATTGTAGAACTTTAACTTTTCAGTGAGGGCGGGGTTTTTCTGTCAGCAACCCCACACATAGATACTAAGCCTGGAGACATGCTCGTTTTTCACCCGAATTATGTCATTTGTCGCAAGCAAGGTGTTCAAGTCACTAAACGAATACATAAGTCAACATAAGATATATATGACATAATGTACTTGTACGCCTGGGAGACAGTTTTTGTAGCTAGAGAAAGAGGCGGTCAGGTCACGGTACCTGAAGCCCTGTAATGCAGACTGTTGTGAAATTAATGGGACTTCTGGCAATATACATTCATTTCCAGAGCGTTTTCCTCCCCAGTAGTTAATACAACGTGAGCACAATGATCTTAGTGTCAAATAGTTGAAATGTTTTTTAATGTTCCGGGGAAAACTTGACTTAATTCATGTTCCGGTTGATTATCGTAAACTGAATGTTTTATTGCTTAATCACAAGTGATAAGTGATGGTTTTATAGAAAGCAAAATATATGTGCTGACGTGGGGGGAAAAATTGACGTCTTGGCGAACACATCCCTTTAGTAAACTGTACATATTACAACTTTTACAAAAAGGTGGGTTGGGGTGTCCATGGTATTCATAATTTTCTGCAAAAAAAGAAGTAGGGGGTGTCTATGGTTTGGGAATTGATAAATTTTCAAAATCTTAAAACTGCCTGAATTCAATCAAAGAAGAATGGGTCTGGGATTGGGATCCTGATCTCGAAGCCAATGGGACGACAAATTACATAATTCTTAATATCACTGAAGATTTAGACAGAAAAGTGCAACCTCACTGGATTGATGGCTTTACATGCTGGGTTATTGGAATGTTTTACGCATTGGTAGTTCATTATGATCCAGGATAAGCTCTTCCTTTTGAAGAACTTGTTATAACTTGTAGTTCACGCACGTCAATGTGCATCGAAAAGGAAGACGGAGCATAAAAGATGGAGGAAATAGCAAAACATGCCGCAGACTTTCTGTCAGCCAAAGGCTTCAAAGAGACTTTTTTGTGGTTAATTCATTTAAAAAGCAAAAGGATTCACCTTCGTTAAAAGAGGTCTTACCAAAGTTTTTGGTAATAGTGAAACAATTTCTTGCTAAACCACGCTATTAATCAAACAATGTCCTGAATATTGCTTAATGCACTCTCTGACAAACGCTTTGGGAACCATTTTAGATTACATAATGTTTATGAATTCGTAATTTTTTTTATTATCATGAACATATTTTTCATGTTTTGAAAAATAAAATTGAGTAGTATTAAGAGGAAAAATAAGAAATTCTACAAATGAAATTGAAGGGAGCTTAAAAAATACTTACAAGAGTTCTGTTTATGTAGTTGCACAAGACAACACCCAGATTGTTTTACTTTGTTGGTCTTTGAATAAAATTAAAAGTATCATGTGTTCTTCTATTGTTTTCATTCATTTTTCCTTTGCAGATCAATCAGCGGTTCAATAGCCTTATTTATTCATTGTCTGAAAAAGTTTCTACTTTGATCGCTATCCAAAGAGGGGTAACTCAGTTCGCAGAACTCAAATTCATAAAATGGACAGAATTCCAATTTTTGAAATAATTTTCAACTGGGGGAGCCAGAAAATTTTTATACAAATTTATAAACTCGTAATTATTTCAATTCCTCCAAGGACACTTTTTGTGTTCAAAATTAAATATAGAATGAATTGGCATTGTAATAAATCGATCACAGAGGTTAACTTGCATGTTGAGACAGATTCCAATATGGCAGACGTTTAAAGGAAATGAAAATCCGGATACACAAATAATGGAAGTGTAGAAAGGTTAGTGTTGACCAACAATCAATTTATGATGTTTGGTGATCGTACTAGCTTAAGAATAAGGGAGGGGAGAAGGAGACAAGATATAAATACTTGACAACGATAGTATAAACAGCGTTGCCAAGAAAAATCGCACCCGTAGGAATAATATAAATTTTTTGTTTGTTTATTTGTTGGATAGTAGCAAAACTTTTCTTCGTAGCAGCAAAACAAGGGTTTCTTTCGGAAGGTAAGATACTTCTGTATGTTATGATTTATCAAGAAATAGTTTATAAAGGAATTACTACACTATAACTGTTTGTCGTAGACAAAAAATGTTGCGGACATTCGCCTTCCCCTCGACCCCCCCCCCCCCCAATCCCTTTTATTAATAAAAAGACAACGTTTGATAAAGTCAGACGTAAGCACTGGGATAATTAAGGACATGAATATTTAAAACTTTGTACAACATTGTTATTTGTTTACATCAAATATTGATTGATTGAGGAAGAATAACTTTATTCTTGGACATTTAAAAATATGTTAAATCAACCACAGGTGCTTGTGGACAGGATTCCGACCTTCATGAATTAATCTCCCAGTACATATTTATCATGTTCTCAAGGTTAAATATCATAGAAATGTCAAATTGTAATTTTTGTATTACATTGTATTTGCTTCCACTCAAATAGTAAATTACAGTAAGACAAAATGGACCTTTTTCCAATTATCATTTTGCAGTTTTACACATTTTTGAAATGTCATACATTGTAATGTATTAACTTTAGCCCCCTTTTAGCTCCCATTTTTTAAACCTAATACGAAGACTGCTCATCATTTCACAATTTAGAGTCATTAAAAAAAATTCCAGGCCATTGAATCCATCCACGGAGCTACTGTAATCTGTATTTATGACTAGGGCCTTATCGACAGTATTTCACCCTTTTACATTTTTTTTTAATTCGAAAGGGGCATCATTCATTATAGTAAAATCTAATCCCCATCACCCATTAATTTTTTTTTTTAATTGGTTGAAACTGGTCAAAATTGTAAATAACAACAAAATGCACCATCGAAGTAATTCTGATGAACATATAAAACGAACTTTTCAGTAAAAATGGTTTTCTCTCTTTCAGAAAAAGATGGCGGATTTAGTCCTTCAGACGACAACCGAACATATCACGTGTACAATCTGTTTGGAACTGTTCGAGGAACCCAAAGCACTACCGTGTCTTCACACCTTCTGCAAAAAATGTATCCATAGTCACATCACCAGGAATTTAGGTGGTTTAAGTATCCCTAATGGATTCCGCTGTCCAATCTGTAGACTTTTCGTGCCCGCCCCACTAGGAAGACAAACTTCCCCCCAAACCTGGGCCAGTTACTTACAGGGGAACCATGTAATTGTAAGCCTTATTGAGGCATTCAAGAACCCGCTCAGTCAAAATAAGCCAAACTGCTGCTTTGAACATCCCGGCAAAGAACTTGAAATTTATTGTTTTGATCACAGTGTATTCGTCTGTTGTGTTTGTTCTCTTAAACATAGACAGTGTAACGATGTTCAATCCAAGGAGGATGCAATGGAACGCCTGCAGTCTCTGAGTGCTTTGTCATCCAGCTTGGACACTACAGAAGAAATGATGAAAAGAATGTACGAACAGTGTAATGAAATAGAGAAACACATTGCCAACAGGAAGTCTAAACTCGCCGGTCTGGACGAAAAGGAGACAGAAGCTCAGCAGACGATATCTCAACTCAAGCGAGAAATGATTGAACGAATCGAAGAGGCAGAAGTGTTAACAGTGGCGAAACTCAGTAAGAAAAAGGAAAAAGAGATTCAAAAAATGGAACGAGAAGTAAAGAAATATGAAAGAATCCTCAGTAGTGCCAAGGATAGTATAAGTCTCCTCCAGTCGGCAAAGGATGGTCAAAGGAAAGAGGAGCTAAACGACGCAATACAGATGGCTTCTAAAACTGAAGAAAATTGTCTGAAGAAACTGGTGTCTCTCAACAAAAAGGCCGAGAAATCAACATTTGAATTCAAACCCACTAAAATTGTTTTGGATTTTCTATCGAACTTTGAATACATTGGAAGTATAGTTGATAGCGATGAGTCTGAAGCAAGTCCTTGTACTTCTTTGAGTGACATGTCTAATCCTGAAAGTGAGAGTCCTCCACTGATTTCAAGAGCTCATTCCTCAGTGGAAATGTTTCAGTCACCAACAAACCGACAAAGACCAGTTCCAGCCAGACGACAGCGTCGTGTCGCGTCTTCGTCCTCTCTTGATACATCAGACAACGTTCTAACAATGGCAACAAATCAAATGCAAAATTCGGCCGAAATAAGTGTAGATGCCAGCAAGTTGAAGCCAAGCTGGATAACGGGATTGTCCGTCTTCCCTGACGGCAAGGTACTTCTGGCTGATTATCACAGTTCTCGGTTGATGCTTTTCAGTTCGAATCATAATTTGGTGTCTGAAATTCGTGTACAACCCGCACCGTATGATGTCACTGTGATAAACGACTACGAATTTATGGTAACCCGTCCTGAATACGCAGAAAGTGTGATAAGTGGAAATGTCACTGACAATGAACTATGTTTGGGGGCCATCTTGAAAACATCCTTTCAAGCACGTTGCTTAAATTTTAACCGAGGATATCTTGCTGTGTGTTCAAGTTCAGTTGTTGAAATCCTTGAGAAAGATCTAGAATTTTGGAACGAAAGGCATTCTCATTCTTTCGTCAGATCCAAGTTTACGTACGTTGCAGTGGACGGCGAACGAAGAAATGTATTTTTGACGGATCAGAAGTACCCCGAACCACAACTGATGTGTCTGACTTTTTCTGGGGACGTGCTATGGCGTTTTGTCCACCCAGATCTAAATTTTCCTACTGGGGTGGCCTATAACGGGGCGCACGTATATGTTGCATCATGGGATAGATGCGCTGTTCTGGAGCTAAATTTGGAGGGAAATTACTGCGGGGTTATTATCAAAGACATTATGTTTCCATGGAAATTAACAATGGGACAGGAAAATGGGAACTTAATTGTGTCCCAGCACAAGAACACTCTTTCGGATGAAATGAAAAGATCTGTTAAGCTGTATCGTTTTGATTCAGCGTGAACAATGTTTAATTTTTAGCGTTTCTGATTTACTTTCTTACCAATAAATGTTAGCATTTCTCTTTACCTGTAATAATAAATACTTATCATTCAGTGGTCATTGATTACCCTTATAATTTTCACAAAGACAAGATGTCTCATGTAATTAAAGCTCCAAGTGAAATTGTAGTGTGTTGAAGTGGGTATACTGGTGGCATTTAGGTTTTACAAAATCTTGAAATCGTTGTCTAAAAGCGCTTTTCCTTTCGGGTTCCAAATAGTTTCCAAAATGTAGCTTTCCTTTCTTTTTTAGCTCACCTGAGCTGAGCTGTTCTGATCACCCGATGTCCGTCCGTCCGTCTGTAAACTTTCACATTTTCAACTTCTTCTCAAGAACCACTAGGCCAATTTTAACCAAACTTGGTACAAAGCATACTTGGGTGAAGGGGAGTTTAAATTGTAAAAATGAAGGCCAAGTCCCCTTATAGGGGGAGATAATCAAGAAAAGACAAAAGTAGGAGTGAGGTCATTAAAAAATCTTCTTCCAAAGAACCACTGGGCCAGGAAAGCTGATACTTATGTTGAAGGATCCTGGGGTAGTGTAAATTCTAAATTGTTAAAATCATGACCCCAGGATGTAGGGCGGAGCTACAATTGGGAATCCAAGTTTTACATAGAAATACATAGGTAAAATCTTGAAAAATCTTCTCAAGAGCGACTGGGCCAGAAAAGCTAACACTTATGTGGAAGCATCATTGGGTAGCGTAGATTCTAAAGTATTAAAATCATGACAGGGAAGGGGGTAGGAGGCCACAATAGGTATAACGAGAGGGGAAATCTGGTTAAGAACTGCATCACCAAAGTTACTCAGATGAACGAAGTGGCCCATGGGCCTCTTGTTTCTTTTCTTTTTGTTTGTGTTTTTTTTTTATTATTGGGGGGGGGGGGGGGGGGTACCGACTGAGTCCAACGTTTAGATGTGTTCTCACACCAGCGTAAGGCTTCTCAGTCATATAAAGACAAATTGATACTGAATAAAACAACATGTGTTTATGAAACAGTGCCACCCTATGGCATGATACTAGTATTGCAAAGGTTAAAATTCTCAAATGCAAATCAAACTCAATGTCAACTGCAAGATATAATAAGAGGCCCATGGGCCACATGGCTCACCAGAGTGGCTTTGACCATGCTGTTCACCAGATTCTCCTTGTAATAACCTATTGTTATTCCACATTATGGCCCCGTCCTACCCCCGGGGGTTATGAATTGAACAATTTAGAATCTACACTTCCCCAGGATGCTTTCACATACGTTTTAGTTTTTCTGGCCCAGTGGTTCTTGAGAAGAAGAATTTTAAAGATTTTTCCTATATATTTCTATGTAAAACTTGACTTCCCTATTGTGGCCCCGCCCTACCCCTGGGGGGTCATGATTTGAACAATTTAGAATCTACACTACCCCAGGATGCTAACACATAAGTTTTAGTTTTTCTGGCCCAGTGGTTCTTGAGAAGAAGAATTTTAAAGATTTTTCCTATATATTTCTATGTAAAACTTGACTTCCCTATTGTGGCCCCGCCCTACCCCTGGGGGGTCATGATTTGAACAATTTAGAATCTACACTACCCCATGATGCTTCCACATAAGTTTCAGCTTTTCTGGCCCAGTGGTTCTTGAGAAGAAGGTTTTAAAAGATTTTTCCTATATATTTCTCTGTAAAACTTTGATTCCCTATTATGGCCCCATCCTTCCCCCGGGGATCATGATTTGAACAATTTAGAATCTACGGTACCAAAGGATCGATGCTTCCACATAAGTTTCAGCTTTTCTGGCCCAGTGGTTCTTGAGAAGAAGATTTTTAAAAAAATTCCTATATATTTCTATGTAAAACTTTGATTCCTTATTGTGGCCCCACCCAACCCCTGGGGCTCACAATTTGTATAATTCAGAATCTCCACTACCCCCAGGATGCTTTCATATAAGTTTCAACTTTTCTGGCCCAGTGGTTCTTGAGAAGAAGATTTTTAAAGTTTTTTCTATATATTTCTATGTAAAACTTTGATTCCCAACCCCCGGGGGTCATGATTTGAACAATTTAGAAATTACACTACCCCAGAATGCTTCCGCATAAGTTTCAACTTTTCTGGCCCAGTGGTTCTTGAGAAGAAGATTTTTTTCAAGACCCTACCCTATTGTTGTCTTTTCTTGATTATCTCCCTTAGGATGGGACTTGGTCCTTCATTTTAACAATTTAAAACCCCCTTCAACAAGGATGCTTTGTACCAAGTTTGTTTAAAATTGGCCCATTGGTTCTTGAGAAGTCGAAAGTGTGAAAAGTTTACAGACGGACAGACAGACAGACGGACGGACGACGGGCAAAATGTGATCAGAAAAGCTCACTTGAGCCTTCGGCTCAGGTGAGCTAAAAAGTTACCCAAAGAAAGGACTTGTCTTAGTGAATATACCGGTGAAATATGAAAGCCTAAGCACCAACCATTTAAGGACAGACGAGACGTTCCTTAATAATAGATAAAATTTTCCAAGATTTTGTCATTGAAGTATTGCTACTTAAACATGTTTACTCACAAAAAATTGAGGTACCTTACCAGGCATTTTTGCAAGATACCAGGGGTAGATTTCTTATATAATCCTTTTGGGAAGAAAAATAATTTTCCATTTTCAAATGTTTAAGTGTTTGGATTTTTAAAAGACGTTTACAAACTGCTTTGGAAATCAGAATGTAATTTAAAATTTGAACATTTTTCATACATTACGAAGATATACAAAACAGATTTTGAGGAACGTCTCGTGTGACCTTAAAACTTATGGCCAAGGTTAAAAATTTTAAAATGGGTCAAAGTCGAGAGGTCAACATTAATGGTAGCCAAGGGAAGACCTTAGTACTTAAAAGTACACCTGTTTAAATATAATAGTTCTAGCACCATCTGTTCAAAAGTTATGACCAAGGTAAACGGTAAAAGGGTCAAACTTTAAGGTCAACAACATTTATACCCATGAACTTTGAATCAGTTTTAGCGCTAGGGCTTTCAAACTTCACATGTGTATTGCACTGTGGCAAGACCAATTGTTCAAATATCACCTTCTTTAATCTAAATAAGTAAAGTTTAATGGAAGTGTAATAATAAGTGTTTTCTCTGCCTGCAAAAACTTAGGTTTGGCTTTGACGTAACTTTGGTAGGTAGAACCTTAAGGTCTGTCACGCATTCTTAACAAAAAGACCACAGCATATAATGCTAAAGCACCTCATCATAATGAAGAAACCACAGTATATAAAGTAAAAACAATTCATGATATTGAAGAAATCACTTCAAAGGAATTAAACAGACAAAAGTGCTTGGTTATGATGAGCAAGGGTGTTTCTTCCATAGTGAAATTAGTAGCCCGAAGGTCAGGGAATCTCGTGGGTGGGTGCGGGCTCTATTGATGATAAAGACAGTGAAAATTGCGAAACATCAAGAGAGAAAAAAAATTGTGTTGAGTGAAGTTCTTTCAGTTTGAAAGCTAATTCATTGTCCTTTTGAATGAACATATAACTGCACTGACGTGCATTTCATTGTACTGGTATTTAGAAGATACTTGTTCAATATTTATTCAAGTAAGATTTTATGAAATATACGTTGAAAACGTACTCAATTTCATATTTAATGTTATTCCCAGGTTTATTTATAATTATTACATAACCTTTAACAGGGTTGTTTTCTTACTATAAATTAGCAATTGATAATATCGACAAAATGCTTGAAAGTAAAGATTCATTTTGTTGCTGTGATGCACTTGCTGGGGGTAGGCAACAAAGTGAAATATAGATGAACCTCCTTTTTTGATTGATGAATCAAGAATTTGGCACACAATCAAACAAATCGTCGACGTACAATTTTACACAATCAAACGCGCTTTTCAATACTGCTACTGATGTAGCAGTACATTTTCGTGAGACCAACTCACACTACAATGAAGCGCATTGAAGTGGTAAAATTTTCCGTTTGGACGACACGTTCTGAGTCATGTTTTGAACGTCAATTATAACATAACGACACGCCCATTTCTTTAGAAACGAGAAAGGAATATTCGTCGTAATGTTTTAGGACACTACACTTTCCGCGACAAGCAACATGAGGTACACTGAAATGTAGATTTTTAAATAAGAAAGAGCTATGTATAGAGTTCCCGCTTATGTAAAACACGCATTGCAACGAATTTGTACATAATTATGATTTTATCATGTTTATTGGAGTTAGCATAGCACATGTATCAGTCGAACACGTGCTTACTCGGTGTTTATGTAGACCGTCAATTTCATTGGCTATTATATTTATAAAATACCTGTTAAACAGGTATTCGATTGAATCATTTGACCGATTTTTCCTTTCTAAAGAAATGGGCGTGTCTAAAGATAGCTCAAAACGTTCCATCCAAACAGAAAATTTTACCACTTCAATGCGCTTCATTGTAATGCCAAACATTACACATGACATTACCGTAAGTCACACTAACATTTGAACATTGTAATAATGACTCTCTAAAGTCTTATATAGTTTACTAACTTGCGGCCTGTTAGCATTGATTGAACATTTGCATAATATAAAGCAGTCAACGAAAGATCGTTTTATCTACGTTGTTCAAAGGGCCATAATTTGAATTATCGAACTTTGTAAAAACTTACATTATGCAAATTCTACAACTTAAAATCAGTGGCAAGGAAAAAATATATATAGAAGCTGTCTTTGGGAGGTGGATGGTGGGGGAAGGGTTACGATAATGTTGACAAGTAGTAGTGCTTGTATGAAGGAATACATCGTGGCATAATACTGCACTCTGTTGCAATACCACTATGCAACACATTGTAATACCTTTACAAATTGACCGATCAAGTCATGAGCTTTGATAGGAGTCAAAATTAATTATCAGTAATTGTGTCGAAAGACTCCTTGACGAGTGACGTATTGATGATTTTCATCAACCGACAAGTTTGTTTCTGCGCAAAACATCCAGACGAAAGGAGAACTTGTCTTAAACTGATGAGTGGATTTGTTTTTATTGGCTAAGAAAATTAATCCTACTATCTTAATAAGAATTTGACTGCTCATTAGTGCATTGGACTAGAATGTAATGTCAATCAACATAAATTCAAGTCCAATTAAAATAAAATATGATTGAAAAATTAACACTTTTAAAATTTATTTCATGTTCTGATAAAAAGTAAAAAAAAAAACAAAACAGACTGGCTGGGTATTTTTTAAATTTACATTTAAAAAAAAAAAGATTAATCTTCTCTTTTATATGAAATGAAATTAGCAATCAAAAATTATATCCAAAAGACTTTTCGACAAAGTTACGCATTACTATTTTTTTAATCGAACAACCAGTTTGGGTATGCGAAAACATCCAGAAAAAAACTTGTCTTTGACTGATGAGTAAACATCTTTATTTACATGAGAATTGCTATAGCTTATCTTAATAAGAAGTGCACTTTATTGCAACAAAAACGCAATGTCAGTAAAAAAAAAAAAAAAGTCCATTTTCGCTTTACGTGATTTCATTGAAAATAACTAAAGGTTGAAACTGGTCATTTTTCTTTCAGTTTTCTTTAAAAGGGGTCTGAAAAACAGACTGAATGGAATATTTTTATTCACCTTTTCTGGTATGCTTGTTCTCTGTGATATAAATTCAAATTAACAACCCAGTAATTATGTCGAGATGAATATAATCTTTACAGTATGTCTGATTTTTTTCTCTCCGGTCAAACGACTAGTTAAGGTATGTAATAGATTTCTCGTGTTGGACTGATGGGTAGAAATTTTGAGAAGGACGCAGATATGCACCAGGAAGGATAACGGAATTTACTACGATAGCAGTATTTAGAGCTGAGTTCTAATCAAACAACCGTTACTTTGTCTAATTCTTTAAAATAAAAAAAAACTGATTATGTGTGTGCGAATTTGCATTATTTTTTCAAATTCTTCTTTATCCCTGGGTATTTAGCAAACAAAGTAGGCACACATGATGTGCAAGGGCACCTCTTCCAAACATTTTATAGCCCCTGTCAGGGGTTGTCAATCGGTGATGTTATGATTGTGTTTATTGCATTTATATCGAATATATATTTCTTTGATCTTTTTCCTTTCTTTATTTGGATGTGGGCATTCAATAGGTCAATTAAATGAATTAAGAACATCAATTATGTCTGACCAAATTGTGAATTTCATGACACCTTACACATTCTAGTGTTAGGTTGGGGTTACCCCTTGGATCTCTTGTTTATAGTTTGAATTTTTTCTCATATGGCAAAGCTTTACTTTAGAGTATAGTTTAGGCTATCCATCCCCCTCAAAAAATTGATTCAATTTTTGAAGCAAATTTCTATTTCTTGCAATTGGTTTGTGTCTTCTTGAACACTCAGCAGTTCCACAAAGCTATATCCATGGGTACAAAATGTGCCTCCAAATCCTCAAAAATTACAATGTACATTTATAGTATCATAAAATGCTTATCCAATTGCTGTGAGTGGGACAATTCTCATGTGAATAATTCCTGCGGTGAGTTCAATAAAAGAACAATCCCATAGCCAGTAGATAAGTATATATTATGCCCCGGGCCTTCGATTTTTTTGTGCATAAAAAGTGGCAAATGACCTTTTTCTCAAATAAGGAACTTATTAACAAAGTTCTACACCTATTTATCTCATTTCTTAATGAAGCATCATGACAAATGCAATAGTGTACCTTCAATTTCATTTACAACAGACACAATTTCACAATCAATGTTTAATATTTTTTCTGATGAGGTAGTTTATCATACAAGAACAAAATATAACATTCACCGCATACACTCAATGAATTCGTAACATACTACAGGTGATTAAGGGAGTAATGAGAACTGCACCTATTTTCAATTACTGAAAATTTTAAAATCTGTATCATTTCTGTATGAAAAGAAGCTCATCTTTTTCTAAAATGATTAAGATTCTGACACCAAAATATTTTGGTGTGTTATCATTAAATGATAAATTTTATGCTAAAGCTTTTCTTAGCTTTTACTCAAAACCACCATACCAATGAAGCGACTCTATAAATATATCCAAAAGGCCTTTGATTTCAGGATACATGAAATTTGGATATGGGCAATCAATTTAACCCGACTGCTAAATTTATAGCATTCAAAAACGCACAAAAAGAGAGCATATTTCTATATGTAATGCATATACTGGGGTGCATTCAAGAGGACAGTGGCTATTAAGCCTGCATAAAGCTACAATCCTCACTGATATGTTAGCCTAACTGCAAATTGGAGAACTTTAAAAGTTTATGCTAAATGCATGAGCTGTCCCTTCAACAGAGATATCTACAGTAAAACTTGTTTAGTAGGAACACAGATATTGCAAATTCACAGATATAGCAAAGTTATCCTGCATCCCAAGCTTTATTAAATTAATGAATTCCTAATGCTAATGTAACGAATAACGGATATAGCAAAGTCATTTCATAGGTCCCAGTGACTTAAACCTGAGTTTTACTGCACTGCCTAGCTGCTAGGCTAGCTGCCACTACCAGTATCTTGAATGCAGCCCTGGTATTTTCCCTTAGAATGGTATGGTGGCTTAATATTCTTAATTTGGTGTTTCTTCTATTTGATTTAATTTAGCACATAAAAATTCTTGAAACCTGTTCAAAAGTATACAAAGATCTAAATTTAAACAAAAAATTCTGTTGCATATAAAACTACCACACTTATTTTCATCTAGTAGTCTAGAAATCTGGGACTGATAATATATACATATAAAAAGATTTTAAACATTAAATTTCACATGTATCATTCATACATCAATTACATTATAAACCAAACACAACTGTGCCAATTACTTCATTACATGTACAAGCACACTACAATGAATATATTTTATAATGAAAGAGCCTTTCAATGAGAAATCTTTAAGGTAACTATCTTAATTAGATTAATTAAATTCATTTAGATTAACGCTACTTATGAATCATAAATTTTCCAATCAAACCATGTGATATTTTAAGTTTGAAGATGAATGAAATATCATACTGGAATATAACAATAGAGAAATTTCACCGGAGAACTTTGACAGAGTATTATTGTAGAGCTATGCTCCAACTTAAATGAAGTTTAAACTTTGTTCAAGTTAATTTTATAAAATTACAGAATTAAATGAGAATATGAAGGACGCATGCTGCAAAATAACAATTTCAGCTTCTTCAAGACTTCAAACATTCTCAATTGTACACCAAAACAAAGCATCTGTGTTCACAAATGTCATTTACAAAGTGTATAAAATTTTGGTTATTTTAGCTCTCTCTCAACAAATTTTGCCACTCTACAAAAACTGCAATAAATAATGAGAAAACATAAACTTGTTTAAATTTTAAATAAGGCCATACTTAAAATTTTTTGTTCAATGTACTCCGACCCACATTTTTTAAGGTGGGGATGGAGGAACATTTTTTAATTATCTTATAACATACAGAAAATCATTGTTAAAATTACAAACTTAGAAATTTATTGTTTTTACAATGTACACTAAGCATTAGTAGAAAAATTAAATATTTATTGCTGTAATTGCTTTAAGTATAAAATGCTCAGAAATGATAATCCTTAAAAGTTATTGTTTAGATGTATAAGGACAATATAACAATACATTTTCTTGGAAACAAAAAAAGAATAAAAAAATTGACAAGTACTGAAAAAAAAAAATGATAAGGAAGGCGTAATTTGGATGGGTCAGTCGGAGTACATCAAACAAATTATTTTCTATTGTTGGCCAAACTGGATTTTCGCAAGTGAGCAAATTTAAAAAAATTACCCTTAAATTGTGAATTATGTATAACTTGGAGTCCCCTTCAGAACCGATATGTGAAATGAAGCACTCATCCCAAAACAATCAAAAAATACACTCTATCTCGTTAACATTCTGATCAGCAGTGTATTTCAATAACCCTACACTGCTTCACTGAGGACACAGTCTTGAAAACTTTCACAGAAATAAAACTTTGGAATACTATAACTATACAGATAATAAAAAGATATTTGTCAAATTTTCACAATAGGAGGTAGAGAATTGGTAAGACAATATTGAGCAAACTTCGAATAATATATCACAACTTGTCTACCTATAATGACCTTACTTATGACCTTCCTACAGGTTTGATGCCCCTATTCACATAAAAAAAAAATTCAGTTGAACTTCATTGGTACACTAACCTGAAAAATTCTAATGCTTAAAATTAACTTCCAAGTTTCTTGTAACATATACTATAGTATATCCATCTTTTCACCTTGTAACATTATTTTGAAATACAATTGATTAAATGTTGAAAATTAAACATGGTTTTAAAACACTTTCTGAATCCATAAAAATATATTGCAAAAAGTTTCTTTCGTTGGTTACTTAATTTTTATAAAATTCATGGATATCTCGTCCTTTAGAAATGACATACCAAGTAAGTTATCGTAACCAAAAACAACTTTAACGAGGACATTTCTTACAAGGCATTTAAGGATGTATGCCAGTGAAATATTTTTTAAATATTTAGAAATTACATAAAAGGAAGGGTCAAGTACAAGTACTATGTATAATTTACAAAATTTCTTGTGTACATAGAGAAAACTGTCAACTGAAAATACCTCATTATAAACACACCAAAAAACCAGAATGAAACATGATAATCAATTAAGACTTATGACACACATATAAAGAAATTTTGAATGAGATCATTTTTTTTCCAATCGAAAAAAAAGTTTGTAGTCTGATAAAAGCAGAGGAAAAACAGCAGCAATTTAATATTATTCACACATAACCATGTTTAGTTATACACACACTGTCCTATTACCATCCACAATATCATTAAAAGACTCTCAACAGTCTCCATTTGGTCACACACACGGCCTTAGTATGTGTGCCAGAAGTCCGTGACAATCATACGAAGAATAAATAACACTGAGGTCCATCACCAAGAGAGATGCCTCCATATGTACCAGAAATTCACCCACAGCCAAATTGTTGGATCACAGACCAGGTTCTGTCTGCACAATAAAAACAGCTTTGTGTTGCTTTAGTTTTTTTGTTTTTTGCTATCACTGGTTTGAAAACATTTTTCACAGGTGTGGAATCAGATCTTAACTTCGTTCTGTGTTGATGCAAAAATTGTATATGGAGTATTATATTAACTGCCTATTTTGTCACATTCCAGATCAAGGAATACACACATTTTCCTGTCTGTCCAACATTTCTATGATTAATGGCGGAAGTTCATCTGGCATTTCCAACCGCAGATGAAGAACCCGTTCAGCTCCTGAAAATGAAAGAAACCCCAAAATATTACAAAAGGAAAATGAAAGTAGCCCAAAAATATTACAAAAGGGGAAATGAAAGTAGACAAAAAATATTATTAAAGATAATCGGTCAAACCTTTATGATAAAAAAAAATCATCAAAGAAATTTAAAGACACCTGTTATTTTCTTCAGCAAAGATGAACTAACCTTTGACACTTATACTTCGTAAATCTGTAACTTTATAAAGAATTTTAGCAAAAACATTGGGCAGGTCTTTCCGTCGAGACCTGACGTAATGTTTCAATGCCTCCAGTATAGGTTCCTGCATCTGTTCCACTTTCTCTGGATCTTCTAGTCCTGAGCGGTCTGAAAAGAAGAAGAAATCATTAACAGCAGTCAGAACGAAGAAGAAATCATTAACAGCATTCAGAACACATAAAGCACATGATTGATCATATATATCCTCCCTTCTACCATTACTAACATTCATTCCATCTGCCTTGCAGAGTTTATGTTTATTCCTCTCTCAGACATCTCAGCATTTCACACATCAAAATTTTTTTTACATGAAGTAAAAACATTCCAAGGATTATCTCAAATTAAACCAAAATTTCTAGATTTATTAATTAAATATCTACCGTAAAGGACAAATTTTAGTCCATATTTTAATTATAATGAATTCAGACAAACACACATTTTTGTGGGTATTATTCACTGTGATTGTTGAATGTATACACTAATGGTAGATTCAAGTGACAATTTTTATCTAAGCCTCAGACACTTAGCCTGGTTATTTTTTGAGGAAGAGTTGAAATTTTAGGTGTGATGAAGGACATCAGAGCTGAACACATTATATCCAAGTGACCTAAAACTTATATCCAAGTTGGAATTCTTTGTTGTGAACATACCTCCAGATATCAGGCAGATGGCAGATAGCACAGCATATTCCGTCTCATCAATGTCCAACACTTTCAGAGAGGAGGCGAATTTAAATATAGTGTCTGTTAGAGAACCAAAGCCCCCTCTCTGTAGCTGTTCCCGATCTAGACTGAGTCCCCCATTGAATAACATCACATCTTTGTCTAAGTCATAGCGTGAACACAATCGTAAAATCTGCAAATAAAACATCACCATTATAATAAATGACAATTTCAATCAGACAAAAAAGTTGTACATTTTCCTGATTTTCTAAAATATTTCATATATTAATATTCTCTTCATGCACCCATGTGATAATGATTTGAAAAGAAAATATTTCCATTTCTAATTTTTTCTCTGTGATAACTCTTTGAAAGTTAGTGGAGTTGATTTCTTGATAATTCTACCAGAATGTAAATTAGGCAGGTCGCCAGGTCAGGAGCTATGGAGGCCCAATATGCATGCAAATCTCGTGCGCATCTGTCTCTGTGTCTGAGGCTAAGGAGGCCAAATATGCATGTAAATCTCATGCGGCTGCCTTAGTTTTGACGTCAGTGGGCCAGGACTATTGAAATTGGCATGGGAGTCCTGGTGTAATTTAAATCTGTGTCTACATTTTTAAAGTCTAAATCTACAATTTTATTTCACAATGAAATGGAAATATAAGGAATCACTGTCTAGTTAGTATAGTATGCCACAGACATCAACGATGCCCTGGCATACTATACTAACTAGACAGTGATTCCTTAATTTAATCTACTGGTACTACATAATGGGATATCTGCATGTAAATTTGTAGCCACTTAATTCTTGATTAAAGATTTCTAACGAGATTTCCATTGAATTTCTATGAAGAACCTTGGACCCTATTTTTGGTCATATTCTTGTCTAAAGCTTCTATCTGGTCTAAAATATTCTAGACTTGAAATTTTTGATTTAAAAATTAACAGGAATAAAGAATTTCCCTGCATTTTCACATGTCCATGTAAAAAAAAAATTGAAGATTCTTCATAGTCTAAGGACAGACTGAAACAAACTTATTTGAAACTAGTCCGAACATACTAGAGAAGTCAAACAAAAGGAAAGTCCACGGACTATGGATGATGCATGATAACTGAATGACTAATGTGACCTAATGAGGAAATGTCTACCAAGCCATTCACCTTTAACTTTCTAACAAACACGCTGCTAATCATTTAATTGAGCTATTAATTATCAGCTAGGTAGTATCCTTAGCAATTTGAAAATATCTAATTTATTATTATTCAATAATTTTAAGAAAGGCCATTTATTTCATATAAACAATATTTATGATTTTCCAAAACAGATGACTCTGCAATTAGTTATGATACATGTGATTACATGTAGGTCACATTAATAGAATGCAGGGATATATTAAAAATAGCAATGCCATTAAAAGGACATGATATGCATAATCTAGTAATTTATAATTGTCCACATTTAGAGACCACTAAAGAGTAGATACTTCTGACCAGTCTGCCCATCACTCGGACATAACACAGACCAGCCAGTGTCCAGATCAAAGCCAGGAATCCTGACAACTTGATTTATTATACTGGACAATATGATTATATTCACCTGCCCCGTTCCACCGATAATAGGGTTTTTTACCCCCCTCTCCAGACAATGTCAACAAATTGTTTCACAGCTTATAAATGACACCTCCGTAATTCTTTCTGAATCAAAAGCAGAATTGTCAACCACGGCTTACAATATGTATCTTTTATGAAATTTTGACACAGACTTATTCATGTATAATGATTCCTAAAAGAAGGTACATAGTGCACTTATTTTTCGCGACACCTTATTTTCCCGAGATAGTCATTGACTCTTTATTAGCGAGACAAAATTTTCACGAATTGTGTCCTTGCTCTATATAATCACAAAACGGTTATTGTCTGGTTGATTTACAGTAGTGCAATGGTCGTAGGTTTTTGGCAAGTAACACAAAGGTTGCTGGTTCAAGCCACCATTGTGAGCACTTGATGTTGTGTCCTTAGACAAAATACTTTGTCCATATTACTGTTCTCCCAGCTGCCAAGGGTCCTGACTTGCACTGATAACCTGTGATTGACAAGAGTTTCATCCATGAAAAAGCGATTATCTTATCTGCTTAACACTTCAAAAACTTACTATAATTGGCCTTGTACAGAATAGAAGGATGTATCAAGGTTAATAAAATACTTGCACATCTTCAACTGTAGGTAACTCAAATAGTTTAAATACACTATATTTTTTACTACATGTTATGTTTATGCAAAATATTAATGCTAGTATTTAAGGTAAGGAAGGATCAAACTTACGGCAAGTAGTTTATTCCCAAATATAACTGTTTGTGGAGGTAAAATGGAGAGTTTACCAGAGTCTTTCAGTGAGAGGATGAGGACATAGTTTACACAAGTCTGTCTATGGTGGATTAACTTATTATACCAGAGTTTGTCACCTTGTTGTTTGTTTTGAGCATATCTTATTGACAATATATGTCAATGGGATTGGATTCCCAAAACTTGTACATGCAGTCTGTCAGTCTACAACAAGTGGACAAAGACTAATTTTACCAGAGTCTGTCAGATTGTGGATTGTTTAGAATTGATTCCGGCTTGCAGTGGGAGGTCACGGGGTAAGAGAGTTCATTCATCAATCACGCCGTCTCTGTCAGCATTACACTGTAATGCCTACTATGTGACAGCGATGTCATCCGATCATTTTCACGATCATTTTCATGCTCTAATAGTTCTTATTGCCCAATCTGACAACACGTTACCTGAGGATGTCTCCCACTGTATAATGGAATACAGAATCTGACACAGCAAACAGAATTTCTTTTTTTCCTTTCTTTTTTTATTTGGGCTATATCTTACCATGATTTCTAAACAAGCTGCCTTAAGGAGAGTAATTTGATCTGAGGTAGAAAGGGAGGTAAATCCTGGCATTTTCTTGGCAAATTCCACAATTTTAATAATTCCTTTTGATGAAAGTTCTGTCACTTTGTCCCATAACATTGATTTTTCTTTCTTTTGATTTTGCTACAAAACACAATAAAATCATTATCAGTCAACTCTGTAAGCTTTTTATTTCTTCCCAGGAAATTTTTCTAAGAGATAATATTGATCGCAAGGTAAAGAAGAAAAAAGACCTTTTGATAACAAAGCTATTCCCAGATTACAATACTGAATAAGTTTATACATGTACAAACTCTGAACCCACATTAATTGTAGGTCAACAAGTAAACAGCCATGATTTCAAAAATTGAGATTTTCACAAGATAAAATCTGACTGCAAATGGATTTTAGAAACTGCAATTATTGGCTTTCACAATGGATCTGATACACAGACTGGATTACCAATATGGACCATATATCTATAGCCTTGGGGCCATTATCTATAAACCTTTAACTTTCTTAGGTATCTGGTATATTAAATCAGCAAATTATATTGTTCTACAACACTCAATAACAGAATTTTAATGATTTTTTTTTTCAATGCCAATGGAGTCCAATTTAGATTTAGAATCATTATATGTATATATATTAAAAAACCCACAAAAACACATACTGTATTTTCTTTTGATGCCTCGTCGTTTTCGATATCACTCCGCGAGTCATGACAGGACATGGGAGATAACACTGCCTCCTCTATCTGGGGGAACGTCACTTTGTGGGCCTCCAGAATGTCCTGTAATACACTCTGTTCGTCTTCCGTGATCTCCTCAGTATTGGACGAGGGGTTTTCTAACTTGGGCTTCTTCTTTTTATTTCTGTCATTTCTCACCGCTGTAACATTGAACGGTCATTTGAGATATTTTCTATTCTGTATTCATCTCATTTAAGTTTTAAGTCAAGAATGTTTTGGATTCAATGTATTTTTTTTAAAGACACTGATCTAGAAAATCAGTTACCATTGCTTAAGATACCTTCTTTAGACATCCCACTTGCATAACACTTCTGAAGACGACAATACTGGCAGCGATTTCTGGTCACTTTGTTTATAGGACAGTTCTTATCCTTGTGGCAAGTGTATTGCATGTTTTTTTGAACACTCCTCCTAAAGAATCCCTACAAAACCAACCATGTTTATAAGCCATTATGAAATCCTTTTTTGTATTCTTTGATATGAACTGAATAGATATAAAACAGCAACAAATCAATTACTGTAGATCACTGTAATTTCATGACACCTTACTTACTCATGATAGCTATTTGCTTTTTAAAGGCAAAATAAATTTTTTTGCAAACTGTGGTATCTGTGATTTATAAATTATAAACCTATACCTTAGAATAAAATATTCATTTTAAATTTTTGTTTTTTATGAAATAAAATTGATTTTAATAAAAAAAATAATAAACGAGCACACAGACTTGCATAAGTGTGAGAAAATTAAGTTCTTGCGAATAAACTGTGATTTACAGTATTAATGACAAAAATAACCTAAACCAGATTCTAACATCTACATAAAAATTTACACAAATGCTTTTTCCATAAAAATCATCTGAAAATCTAAAATGCTGAAGAGGTACCTTGCATCCTTCACAGGAGCTGACACCATAATGATATCCTGAGGACTTGTCACTACACACTACACAGGGTTTGTAAACTCTGGGGGGTGGGGGTGGAGAGGGGGACATACTCATGTCTGACATCGTGGTAGGGCTCTGCATCTCATACATACCCTGGGGATCAAAGACTTGACCTGAAAGAAAGAAAGAGAACATTTTAAAACTGAAGTACATGCAACATTTGTTATATCCTCAGCCTTTTAACTGATGGAAATTTAATTTATTACATGTAGTTAATTACTACTACATATATGTAGTATGTCAACTCCCATGCATTGTGTTACATAAATGGTAATTATACCTTTAGTGATGTACAAAGACCTCAGAATGTACACAGAAAAGATGGTGCTTTTTTTTGTTGCCTTTCTATCCTTATACACAGTTGAATTGATAGAATAGAAATAGACATTCTTCACACCTTTACAATTATATGCAGATATGCTTAAATGTTCCTGGGTCACCTGCTAATCTCATGAATGCTCTCCTTTACTTCTTGCACTCAATTTCAATTATAACTGTATATTACAGTAAAATTGATTAATTAAATTTAACCTTAGAAAAATAGAGTGAATTGTTTGTCATAATTTTTTTTTATTACAAGTTAGACCCCCTACCTTCCAATAAATTAAAACTGTCGCAGACAAAGAGATATAGCCAAGGACTGTTGAAAAATAAACAATGAAAAAAAAAATTGATACCACGAGGCAAAACTGCGAGATTTTATCAAATAGCGACAAACAGAGAGTGATGCGAATCAATAGATCCACATCCTTCTCTATAAGATGACACGTCCTATTGAAGTTTACAGAACAGACATCCTCGTCAGGATCTAAAGAGTGGTGGTACTAGGTCACATGAAGTCAGCTTATACTACTATCACTTCAATAACAGTGTGTCAATTGGCTTGATCGAGCCTTCTCAAGTTTTAAGATTTCGATCACCATATTTCTTATTGATTGGATTGTTTGATTTCAATGAAATCAAAACTACTTTGCAAAGAAAACAGAGAAGCAAGGAATACCAGAGAGATTATTGATCAATGATATTGGATGGTTGTATATGATTAGACAGTAAACAATCATCAAGAGCTTTTTTTACTAGTTTTAATCATAATGTCAAACGTATTTGCAATATCGATACTTGCACTTAAACCTTAAAATGAGAAAGAAACCTCACATAGACACACAAATTTTGGTTTATTTACAAAGTTTTAAAACATCTAAGCTAATATGACTTTTGTTTAAAGAGAGGTAAAATGTATGAAATAATGCATTTTTAAAAATTTCACTTGCAAATAAGCATAATGATATGTTTGTAGCACTGTAGCCTTTCTGGTAAATTTTGCAAATATTTTTAACTACCCGGTCATGCAATTAACAACTGTTACTGAATACATGTATGACACAGAAACAGGCTTTAACTGACCACGTGTTGCTGCTATAATTACAATTGCTATACTGGTAATAGTCATTCACTGAATGTGACTGGTCAGCATTATCATTGAAACCATACATCAAATTACTGAGTTACATATGGTATTCAATGCTCTTTTAAGCAAATTGACATGCTGAGATTTGAATGATAATTCTGTATAAATGGTTGTTTATCAACCTATGCAAACAAATAAAAAATTCCTGTATACAATATAAGTATCCTTTTGAAAATGCTCCTAAACATCTGAATGAATACTGCATGTCTTAAATGTTGACCTTGTAGCTCTTCATCCACACAAACACACAAACAAATCTCACATTTGTAAAGTGAAATATGCATGTCATAATATCTCATAAAACTTCTCAGATAAGTTTATAATAAAAATTTGACTACAGAACTGAACATTCCATCCATACATAGGAGTCAAGTAGGGTGAGACCAGTCAACACAGGGATGCTTCCTCCTCCTAGGGCACCTGATCCCACTTCTGAAGTTTCTAAGGGGGGGGGGGGGCTCTTTACATATTTGTATGGTTTAATGATTTTTTTTTAAGATCAATCATTGTTCGTTATCTTCCATTTACATATTATATCCTTTATCATCAAGATAAATATAAAATATGCAGGATTTAATTATGTCATCTACTATTGGATCTGCTAGGATCTGCGTAATCTATGTTACATGCTTATATTCTCTGTTTATACAATAAGAATTGTGCAACAGTAATAGGTTTTACTGTGATGAATATATGTTACCTATTACCTACCACCGATATTATACAGAGATACACTGGATTCATTAAAAAATTAATTAAAATGTTTTTGATTAGCCAAAAACAGGAAAAGATGCTTGTAATTTTTTCACCATGGAACTGTTCATTTCCATATGACACAATATTTTTTGAAGTTATATAAGTGTTCAAGATAACAATATTTAATGTGTACACAAGCAGGTACATACAAGGACAAAGTAAGAGGTCAAATATGAGGGTACCTTAAGAACATTCTTGTCATAATGAATGTACTAAAAGTCAAATATGAAGCCCTTGCTTGAACCATGCAATCAAAAGTTGTGGGCATGCAAGGTCTAAGATTTTGCAGACAAATGACAGACAGATAGACAGCTACTGTGTATGCCGGATCCCAATCTTCAATTATGGGGGACATCAAATGCAGCATTATGCTCTCCTTATATAAACTTATCTTGATCTGTACCTGTACTTGTTTTATCGCCATCTGCTTATAATATTATCAAGTTTCAGTGCCAGATCACTGCATTTTTAAATATTTTAATTTATACAAAATTATGGTATCTTGACTAATTTTGTGAGGAGCTATGTTTAAGCCCAAATGCCAAACCATATCTTAGGAATAAAAAACTGTTCATGAATTTGAACCTATAAGCATTAATTTGAGTTTGCAAGGGCCAACTCTTGCATGGGAAATGAACAAGCTTAAAACATATGATTTCATTGATATTGGTATTTTGTGAGCTCATGGGAACAGTCAGAGTATGGGCTCTTAGGCATTGGGGGTGGGTGGGGATGGGTGGGGGCCTGGGCCATATAACATAATTACATTTATAATCACTGATGACCAAATAAGGTCAGCTGAAGTAGTTGATGTCTTGATGAGCTTCTTAAAAAGGATCAGTTGTATTTGAGACCTTGCTTTTTTGACAAGAATAATATCCCCATTTTCATTATATTAACTTGTACATTTTGAGTATCTTATAAATAGATACTAACTGTACCAACTAATTGATTATGGTTTGTCCAGAGACATTTCAATATCCATACATGTGCATGTATATTAATGCATATACATATATAATACAGTGCATATGTAAGAATGATCTTCTGTATACATTGATCTTATTCAAGAATATACAGATATTCTTGCCATAATACAAGGCACAAAAATGCAGATACTCACTTTTGATACCTTGGTGTACCATATAATTAGTCTTCTGGCTGTAACCATAGGGGTCATAAGCACCTTGTGCCATATAGGAGCCATGATGGTCCATTCCATAGGGCTGATCTGCATTCATAGGTGCTGTTCAAAATAAACAATAATCTAACAATGTTTAATAAAAATGTATGAGCCCTCTTTCAGCAATGGCATAAAAATTTGTATACAGTTTCCATACAAAACAAAAATATTATAACAATATAAAAATTCTATCACATTATAAAATTATGTATATATTGTGTTCAATGAACAATAATTTTTTGCAATGACATAACAACGTGAGTGACAATGAAATTATAACCAAACTCCAATACCCCCCTCCCCCCCCTCTTCTTGTTTGTAGGTATCATTAGATACAGAGAACAGCATCTTGTACACAAGACGACTTGCCTTTCAGATTGAGAGCACATCATACGAAACGGTAGAAAGATAATTCATATACACAGATAGCCCACTGCAGAAAGTAATAACACAGGTACTACAGAAAAAAATAATCCAACGCAATGTTATGGAAGAGCTCTGTGTATATGTCCATGAACTTGGCAGCAGGCCAACCTTCTAACTCCGTATACACACAGTTTTCACACGTAATAAACTGATTTTGTTTACATAATTAAAAACAAAGAACAAAGGACTAAGCGTTGTAATACCTACACTTTCGGTCGGACATTCTTGCTGACGATTAAGGCGTGAACTAGAGAAAATATATTCATGTCTGTGTTGTTGTCATGCCTGGTCAGTAATGAGAGAAGGGAAGTAACTCGCGTCAACATTACAAGTGGAGTCTATATACCCCAAAAGATCACAAAATGCACCATTGACGTGCCTAACATATATAATCACCTTAGAAGACAAATGAAACTGCAGATCCAATAAACTCTTCATTTTTCACTGTGTTTACACAGAATAAATTTTTCATTATTTTCTTCAATACAATAAATATACTATATAATCTATTCCAATCAACAAAGGTGATCAATTTACGGAGTGACACACAAAAAACCCTCACACAGCATAGGTCTGTACATTGAAAAAAAAATTGATTCTTTTGATCCATTGATTTTAGATGAGAGAAACAAAGATCAATTCTACATTGTTTGCCATCTGAACAAAATAGATTTTTAAAATAAAAATTTGATTTTTTTTTTTTACAGTATAATTATACAGAGTTCAAATTTTCATAAAATATTAATGTATGTATTATGATATCAAAAAAATTATTATTATCATAATTTAACATATAAAAAAAACTTTTTTTATTTGTTCCTTTAAAAAAAAAAAAGAAGAGAATAAATAACTGCAATTACCAAAGTATTATTTCTTTTCAATTAACATTGTGAGAAAATCACTAAAAGCATCATGAAAAATCAATTATACATTATCTCCTCAACTTTTCACACAAAGACACCTCCTGCAATAATCTGTAATTTACATAAAATGCTGCTGTCTGTCCTATATGCTTTACATTTCCGGATAATCCAGTAATCAATACACCCCTACGTCAAGGGGTTACTGGCCTCTAATACATGCACTCTCCTGACCGAGATATTCAAATAACCAATCAAAACCAGAGAGAGAATTCAGTTTATTCTGTAGTATCTTAAAAAGTCCATGAGGGCAAAGAAATATTACATTGAATTGTTTTATTTCATAATTTGTACATGTAATTTTCTTGCAATTGAATTTCTTTAAATTTTAAAAAATTTTAATTGTACATTTTCTTATTCAGGGAATAAAATTAGTGAATTTGATTGTTGTAGAATAATTTATCAAATTAATGTAAAAGTAAATAAATACCAAATGTAACATATTGTTTCTCTGCACTGATCATGAGTCTTTCCCTCTTATAGCCAAGTGCTGCAACACCATTGAATATATACACATATAGCATATGGGGATGGTAATTTTACTGACCAGTACATAAAGATGATATATTTGATTTTTATACACACATATACATGTAAAACTTTGTTTCTCCATTGCAAATAATATTTATCAACTAAGTGGACAATAAAAATATATATAACCATTTGATTCAAGCAAATTAAGGCCTGAATAATGTTAAATAAGGAGTGGATTCCTTTGAATCATATTATTTATTGGAAAAAAGTTCATTGACATAACCCCTCCCCCTTCACCCAAATGGAGTCTGCCTGAAGATCTATGAGGGGGTACCAGTGGAGGGTGTAATGTACCACTAGTCATGAGATTACATTTTCTTCCTAAGTGGAGAACAGATCATGTGTTTCATAAATCTTTCCCCTAAACATGACAGCCAATACAATATTGTATATACATTTAATCTGAGGGTTCTGGTTTCAAAAAGTCCATATTTGAAATAAAAATGTCAGATCTGAAACAGGATTCCGTTGTCTTAAAATTTGCTTTAATGGTTTGAACCCAGGACTTCTGACATTCCCGTCTCTACCAATCAAGCAAAAGAATGAAGTCATTAACCCATTTAACTAATAGTAAGTTGAGTACCACACACTAGAACAATTACACAGTGAAGAAATATATATTCATAAAGAGTTAACAACTTTGAAAAACTGATTTTCTATTATGGCCTCATTCTTTCCTCCTTGGATCACTAATATTTAATCTTCATGTGTTTCTTCATTGCAAATATAACAAAAACAGAAAGCAAATGAATTTGGCCTTTGACCTTGAAGTGAACTTTCCACATGACCATGTGTCAATGTCTGAGATTACATTTCTGAAGTCTTAAATTATCTTTGTGACAATTATGAGCTTTTGTTGTTTCTCTCTTATCAAATCATGTTCCAGACAGAAATTTAATAAATTTTCTATTTGATAACTACGAGTGGTTCAGATGACCTTATGTTTATGTAACAGAAGAGGAGAAGAATGCAGAAAACCAGACCGGGATTCGAACCCAGGTCTCCTGAATCTCCAGTCAGGTTTTCTACCTACTGAGCTATATGGCCATCAGCAATCAAATCTGGCTGACTCCCACATTCCTCCTTCCTTAGTCTATGGGCCCCCAAGGACCCCAGACCATGCTCATCCTTGGCAGGCCTCTCACCTATCAGTTTCAGGGCATGGCATGGCACCAAATGTAATGGGAGAGATAAAAATGCAGCGGACCAGACCGGGATTCAAACAAAAGCCCCCTGAATCTCCAGTCAGGTGCTCTACCAACTGATCTGTCTGGCCATGCACCTATCATTGAACCCGGCTAACACCCACAGTTATATAGAACTCCATCAGGTAGCCAAGCAAGATTATAGCAGTCATTTGTGTAATGGATTATAGTACTGTCGCAGGACACATACAAATTTTCTCTTTTGCTTTGGTCCATCTTTCAATGTTTCCTCATTTACAAATATGGTTCAGTTCAGAATTGTATAACAGATAATCAGATTTCTGTCATTTCTATATTCCCACCAAAATATCTCCTGATCATGTAAAACCCCTCAAATAATATGCATTTTTCTGACATGTATAAGCCATATTTCCTTTTTCTTCATTACAATTATGCAAACACAAATGTTACACCTTTTTTGCCACTGACTTTGCTAACATTGAACCATACAGGGTTAATAAACTGAAAATTAACACATCCCTTGATAATTAACAAGCAGAATCTCAGACAAGTCTTCAATGTTTCTCAATACAATTAATTTGCTTCTCTTTGTAATATCAGGGGAAGGGGGTGTATGATCGGGGGAGGGGCTATCTCCCCATACTTTTTTCAAAGTTACTTTCTATGATTGAAAATATACAGTGAAAGGCATGTCCCCCCTCCCCATCCCCCATCCCTTCTTGTTCAATATATACAGAATTTTTTAACCTTTGTTATATTAAGAAATATAAGTACCAAGGTTAATATAATTTCTAAAATACTCAGTCAATGTAGGAGTCTGTGAGAAAAAGATAACAATGTTATATTTACTTCTTTTCATTAAAGTTCATATTGTAGGAACTGACTTGCCCCCCCCCCCCCCCCATCCATGGGAGAATGTGGGGAAAAAATGTTTAAATATAAATTGATTAAAACTTGTTATTAAAAAAAAAATGATATTTATAAAATTCATCCTTTATCAACATACATGTACAAGTAACAGAAAAAAAATTATTTGTACTTACTATGTTCACTTCCTTCATCTGAACATAATGGTTGAATCTCATTCACTTTAACATACATTGTATCACCGGGTTTTTTTGTGTTTTTAGCTTCTTTTATCAAGAGGAATGTCATACAACCCCGAGTTACTTATATATGTACAAAGCCCCCTATACGTCAGATCAATAAAGACTGAGGTCATTGGCCTCAACTTTTGATTACCTTCCAAAAAGTCAATGGCTCCATGATTCAAAAGTTGCATATGACTGGATTCGGATGACATTGGGTCATGCCCCATGGCGGGGTTCATTCTGACTGTCTTCATACACAGAATGGGCTCCGCCTTCTCATCCTCTGTAACAGAAATTGGTCAACATTAACTAAAATTACCAAGTCACATATGGTGTTGTTTGTCATGTACATAACTTAATTTGTTTTAAGGTATAATAACTACATACTTTGTTATAAGAATAACATACACATTTTTGGGCTACTTACTAATAATTAACTAATTCTTAAATGTAATGAGAGAATTAATGCTCTAGATTAAGATATAATATGCTTAATGAAATGTCAAGCTTTGTTCCTATACATTTATATTAACACAATGCTCAATATATCACTGACCCTAAAGTCATCAGATGATGTATTTTTTATTCCCTTATAAATAGGGGATTGATAACACCACATCCTTTTCCATATATACTCAGCTCATTGCACCTTAATTGTGAATTCCTATTAAGTTCCAGACACTCACTGGGTCAAAGGACAATGTCCTCGTAATGGTTCAGAAAACATTTACCTCGACACTAATGTAAACTGGGCTTAACAGTGTATTCATAATAGTTCTATGATGAACTACTTATCAGTAAATACCTACTTATTTCTATTTAGGGTACAAATTCAGGAAGCACTTTATAAGACATCATTATCTCAACAACAACAATAAAAATCTGTTTTCTAGGTTGTAAACCATTGGATAATGACAGGTCACTGTGAAGGGTGGATCCAGGATTCAAAATTACAGGGGAAGGGGTGGGGATGGGAGCTGATTAGGTTAGGGGTTGGTGGCTGCCTTGAGGCTCCCAGTGGGTCAAGTGAGAAATTCCCTGGAGACTTGTTGAGTACTGCCCCAAAAAGCTCCTGGGTTCTTAAGCTTTTTATGGACCAAAAATGACATCTTTTGGGTAGACATTTTGGGAAGTCATTTTGGGTAGACTTTCTAACAATTTATTGTTGTCAGTAGTAAAAATATGCTCTCAAAATATTTCAGATGAATGCTTGAACTTGCTCAGGTACTAGTATTTTTACTTATATTGTGTAAGATACAGTATTTTCTTTCAAAATCATTGATACAGTAAAACTCATTTGGTACAAACACGGACATTGCGGATTCATGGACAAAGCGAAGTTATCTTGGATCCCCAGATATATAAATTTAAACGAATTCCTTATACAGATATAACGATTTACAGATAAAACGAAGTAATTTCATAGGTCCCAGTGAGTCCATTATAACCAAGCTTTACTGTATATTTATTTGAGTCATTTTTGATGTCACACTTATAACTTTACATCTTCCATGTTTAGAACATCAAAATTTGTTTCAAAGGTCAGATAATGGCCAATCCTTCAATTTTTTCTTGGGGTGGGGTGGGAGGTCATGGTAATATTTATTGATTTGATTTTAATTACCTTGATTTGTAATAAGGTGATTAATTTGGAACTGCAGAAAATAAACAGTCATATATTTGGCTCAGGAGAGCTAAAATTTTGGTGAAATTATTTTATTCTATTTGCCTATCAATTACATTATGGTATAATATTAGTGAATGAGAAAGGGGAATAACTAATTTTAATAATGCAGAATAAATATTCCAATACATGATTATTATGGAACTCCACTTAATTCCAGAACTCCTGACCCAGGGGCCAAAAACTTCCCATGCAAACTTGGAAAAAGCACTCTTGCCTTGTTCATCATAACCATCCACTTCATTTCCAATTGCAGAGAAGAAGATTTTCAAATAATTACTGCATTTTCTCAAAATGACCAAAAGAGCTATAACCCTCTTAATCCAAAACTCCTACTCTGGGACAGAGAATTTTCCCAGTTTTAGAAGAGCTGGCATCTTTGCTTATCAGAACAATGCACTTAATTTGTCTGCTAAATACACAGCGGCAGAAAGGAGAATTTTTGAAATATGAATGTATCACTGTCTATGAATGTAATTCCAATGCATGGCCAATCGAGAGTCCATCTTAAGCACAGATCCTTTGACCCATGAGGCCATATTACGTACATTATAAAAATTTGACAGAGGGTTTTATGTTTATTTTAATATCATGCCAATACTTTATCTGCTTGATGTCCAGGAGTAAAGATTTTTAAAGATTCCCTTATAATTTTTGCCCATCCTTCATTCCAAGGGAGACCATGAAATTCATAATTTTGTTCTCCTGTAAATGTTGCATGCCAATATTTGGTTGAAATCGGTTCAGCATTTCCAGAGAGGATGCTGAGAATCCTCAAATGTTAAAGCAGAATGATATATAGACAATAAAGTGCCGAGCCACAGCATGATACGCCCGTCAAAAATTACAATTTTCTTCAACAGTTTAGCTTGCAATTATCATGTCAACCCTGATTCTAAATTTCTGTGATTTTTCCATTCCTAAAAATATTTATCAATCCCCTGTGATGTAGGCATTAGTTATAATAAATATTACATCATTGATGGATTTCTATGCTGGTTGTGTTAGACCTTGTCAAATGCCCATCATAATAAACCATATCAAATAAGTCTTAACAAATTAATCTATACCAAATTAATTTTGAAAAGAAAAGGCTGGCCATCAAATGACATATGCTATTAACTAACAAACAGTTCTTCTGTCTAATTCCCTAAGGTCATCATACAGCTTGATCAGAGTGATTAAGACAGCTAGCCTGAACTCATTAATTAATCTTTAACTGGATGCTTGTTTACTCATTAATACCAATAGATGAATGGGTCTGCACTATCTACCATAACTTTTTTAAATGATTTTTTTTGGGTTGACATTTAATGTCTGATAGGTTTTAATATAAAATTCATATGGACATGCTGATTCCACCCCAATCCCATGAAATTAGTTTTTATAAATTAACAATTTTATATAATATAAGATTAGTCTACTATGCAATATTAAATTAGTTTTAATTACTTTTCATTAAATTCATTTTAAAACTTAGAATAGCCAGCAAGAGCTATTTTTAATCCAACAGGCTCACACATTTGCCCAATACTCAAGGGATATAGATAACACCATGCTCTAGCTATTAGCGAACTCCTCACACTCAAAACTCATTAATTTCTCTCTAATTTGACATGCAATTTTCTGTTATCAAAATTCTTCTGGAGTCTTGACCAGTGCTTGATAATTACACTCATGGGAGAGGTAGGATTTCTTTAACATACATAATGTTTGTTATAGATTGCTGTCAAGTATATGCTTTAAAAAAATAAGTATTTTCTTGATTTAACACTTTTTTAATAAGGACAGTGCAATACTCTTACATTATTTGGGATGTGTAAATGAATAGTAAAAAGACACATTTTTTTTTTAAATTTCATTTAAATCAAAGGTCACAGTGACCTTGAAATAGGTCGCGACACACCTTCTACCTAAGATGCATAAACTGGCCAAGTTTGATGATTGTAAGTCTTATAGTTTTCTAGTTATGGGCCGGAAAGGATTTTTCCATATTTGGCTATATCTTCTTAATTAAAGGTCAGAGCAACCTACTTTTTGTGTGCGACACACCTTCTACCCAAGATGCATCAGATGACAAAGTTTGATAATCCTAGGCCTAATAGTATTAAAGTTATGAGCCGGAAACGAAAAGCTAACAGACAGACAGACGGACAGACGGACGGACACGAAGCCTATAACATAATACGTCCCGTCGTCTTAAGACGGGCGTATAAAAACAGATAGCAATATGTAATCTCAGTGATTCTGGCATAACCTAAAGCAACAAGCAACTTATGTGCAAGTTGATCTGGTACCTCAAAGTGCCAAATCAAAAAGTAGTTTATAAACATCATACAATAAAAAAAAATACCATAATCTAGTGAATATGCCATTTGCTCAAATGTCATCCAACACCTTTGTAAGTAAAAAAGATATTTTTCTTTAAAATTTTTCATGTTATTTACAACTGACATTTCAAAACAGTCACACCATCCTAGAAATTTGCCATCTGGTGATAATATATGTTACTGTTAATCTGATTTGCAGGGCTTAATTAATTAATGCATTGTTAATGATAAGCTACAAACGAGGATTGCTTTTATAGCCATTGAATGCCTTTCAGTACTAAAAAGTTCTTAAATATTTACATAATCTTTGAAGAAGAATTTTTTAGATTACATGTAACAATAATGAAGTTAGACCTCTGCACGAACCTTTAAAGGATCTATTTCATTTTAAATGGCTCAGAATTTATTACCAAATTACATTTAAAATTGATCAACATGACCTCTTAATTATGGTAATAACATGTAAACAATTCTTTAGAACTTTACATTAAACAAAGAAAAGAAAGATTTTTTTAAAAAAGAGATTCAATGTATTTTTAACAGTTTCCCTTTAAAACATGATCAGGTTTTCACTCTATGGCCAATGCTGCCTCATCTTGAACAAAAAATCTGAAATTACGAGACAAATTCATAAAGACTTATAATCATCATATTCCTACAGCTTGTCTTCTATGGGAGTGAAAATTCTGAAGTAAAGGTAAAATATGACTTATAAAATATAGCCCTAACCTTTGATACACTGTATATAAAATAAATTTCCAATGATATGGCCAACTTATTAGCTCCATCTTTGCCCGGGGCTTGATCACTGGACCAGAGTTGGGTTATGTATCCAAGATTTTCAAAGATGTAATTTACTATTAAATTAATATATGTATAAATTATGACAATTGAACTTATAGTCAAACCTTGGGGCTTAAACCCTATATGAATGCAACAGGGTCATGAATTTAACATTTTTGGAATACTCCTTTTACAGTCAGTATTATGTGTATCATCTACATTGTTTCTTCCCTCTTTTATATCCCCCCAAAAAGGGAAAAAAAAAAAGATTTTATCAAAGATTAAACACATATTTCTATAAACTGCATGACGTGGCACTACATAAAGGGTTTGAACTCATACGATCAGTTTACTAGCTTATTTAGAAGTAAAAAAAAAAAAAAAGAAGATGTTCAAGGATGTAATTTTTATAAAGTATCCAACATATAAACAACTTTAAGATACACCCTCACTGTGGCCTTAGCCAAGAGCCAAAGATTCCTTTGC